GGGATCTAAACCAGGTTTCGTTAAAAGTGGGTTCACGCAAGCCGTTTTAAAATAATCAGGGACACAACCAGTAGATAGGGAGCTGTTGAAAACAGAGATCAAATGGGGCCCAACAGAATCTATTACTTTCAGTAAAAACTTTGTAGGTATTACATCAAGTGGGCTGGAGGACACTCTCATTTGTGATACTGTTTTCAAAAGCTCAGACAAGTCGATGGGATAAAACTGGTTAAAACGCTCTTGTTGCTGGTGAGGAACCTCTGAGTAAGAGGCCGCGGGGGTAACAGAGGCTCTGATTGACACCACCTTATTGGTAAAATAAGATAAAAACAATTCACAGTCATCATTACTTCCAGCTGAGGCACAAGGAGGGGTTGGGTTTACCAGCTGATCCACAGTCTTAAACAGAAACCTGGGATTGTGTTTATGTGTAGTAATGAGTTCAGAAAAATAGTGTGTTCTCGCATCCTTAACCAAGTTATTGTATTTAATTCATAAATCCTTCAGACTGAGGTAATGGACTTGGAGACTGGATTTTTTCCATCTGCGCTCTGCATTCCTGCATTCTCTTTTTAGGCTGCGAATGCTGTCATTTATCCAGGGTTGCTTACTAGCTTTAGACGTAGGCCTAACCTTTAGAGGAGCAGTAATATTTAGTGACGACAAGCAGATATGATTGAAGTGATCGACCAGATTGTTGGTGTTGGAATCAGACAAGTGTTGGCTTTGGCTCTGAAAGAATGCGCAAAACTTTGAAACACTTTGTTCATTAAAGATGCGACAACACACGGAGCTTGGTGAGGCGGCATGAGTAACAGGCGAATCGCAGCTAAAAACAATACATCTGTGGTCAGATATGGTCATGTCCACTAATTCCACAGAGGAAATGCTGACACCCAGGGTAAAAACCAAGTCCAGTGTATGACCACGGTTATGTGTTTGCCCTTTGACATGTTGTTTGAAGTTAAAAGAAGTGGCCATATTTAAAAAGTCAGTTGCATTAACATTGTTGGGGTCATCAACATGAATATTAAAATCGCCGCAAAGAACAATTCTGTCATAATTTAAAACCAGAGTAGATAAAAATTCAGGAAGTTCTGATAAAAATCCTCCAGGCGGTTTTGGGGGGAGATAAATTATAACAAATATGATAGGTTGCAGCCCTCCAACTTTAAGAGTGAGAACTTCAAAGGAGATAAATTCATCACAGCGTACTTGATGACATTTAAAATTTTTCCTATACACGCTCACTAGCCCACCACCACGACCACTGACCCTCGGTTGACTAAAACAATCATATTGAGGCGGACACAGTTCAGCTAGCTGGCTATAGTCATTCATCTGCAACCAGGATTCAGTTAAAAACATAAAATCTAGATTTGCAGACAAGATAAAATCATTTAAGATAAAAGTCTTACTTGAAAGTGATCTCACATTGAAGAGAGCCATTTTAAATGAGTTTGTTCTGGGTGCTGGAGTTGGTGCAGTTGTCCTAATCCTTAAGAGATTACTAATATTTCTGTGTGGGATGTGCACATTTCGGTTTACTGGTCTATGCGTGATGATGACAGGAATAGAAGTCTTTGGAACAGCGCTGGGAGCAGACGGCTTTACATGCCAGCAGGTGGAGACAGTTGTTTGTGGCAGTGAGGCAGAGATCTGTTCAGTGAGTGGTGGTGTGTCCAGGTGTGCTGCATGAATGATTAGTCATTCAGGTAAGTCATGTGTGGACCGCACCACATGCTGTATGTGCGCAGCTAACATTTCTGAGCCACGTTTGTTTGGGTGAAGTCCGTCTGTCTTAAAAAGAGACATTCTTTGCCATAAAATATTAAAATTATCCACATAACACACACGATGAGCCCTGCAGGCGGACTGGAGCCAGTCATGGAGGCCAAGGAGTTTACTGAAGCGGCCAGCACCGCGACCGACTGTGGGAATGGGACCAGAGATAAAAACGGACTTTCCACACTGCTTTAAAAAGTTAAAAAGACGGTTAAAATCTGATTTTGTCAGCTCAGACTGCCGAAGAGCTGTGTCATTTGTTCCGACATGGACTATCACTCTTGTGATGGAGGACGGGAGCGACGGCATCAGGTCCTGGAGTTTTTTTAAAATGTCAGCCGTGGTGGCACCGGGGAAGCAGCGAGTGGTAGCGTTAAAGAAACGGATGTTTCTGGTTATGGAGTCACCAATTATTAGTGTGGTTGGGGAGAAAAGAGGACGAGGAGATGCTGGTTGTTGGGTTCCAGAGCAGGACTGAGCAGAATCTGCTTCAACACTGCGTGCGGACTGAGGATGGAGTGTGTGAGCTGCCGAGTGTTGTGTTGGAGTAGCAGTAATAGACCTGAGAGAAGGGCTACCCGACGGTGCAGGGTAGAGACGGCTTCCGGAGCGTCTGAGCACAGCCTCCTTTAGGGTCCTACGTCGGGAAGCGGAGGTTTTTGACCGGGATGATGGCCGCGGATCAGGCGCAGCGGCAGAACGGCGGCCAAGTGCAGGAGATGTTGCCGGTGGAGGAGATGCAACAGTGTCGGCAGGCACTGTGCCCCGAAAGAGATCTGTATCAGGGAGACTTGAAGCCGCAGGTGCATCTGCTGGATGGACCGGAGTGTCGTTAGACAGGGCTGCATAGCGGTTGGAGAGGCCGATGTACGGAGGAGAGGCAGCCCCATCCGAACCTCTCTTGCAGCCACGGACCACCACTTCAGCCCAGGTTGACTGATGCTTCGGAGTCGAGCAGGATGAAAGCCTCGGAAGACTAGAGGGGTCCCAAAACACGGTGTCCTGGATGTTAGCGGTTGCGCTAAGAGAAACAATCTGTTTGGCTTGTACTGAAGCCACATCCATAAAGCCAGTCAGCAGGGAATCTTTCTCTTTGAGTTCCTCTGAAAGTCGTCGGATGTCTTTCATAAGGTCAGCAATCTTCTTGTTCGCTTTCTTAAGGAGTCCTCATGGGGCAGAGTTATCTCAGCTAGCATAGTCACCGGAGCTTTGTTGTGATCAGTAGCGTTGATCGCAACAAAGTTCATGTCGGATGACTAAAATCCTTAACCCACGTAAAACTTAAATTAAAAACTTAAGTTAAATAAAAAGGATATAAAAATGTAACGAAAAACAGTGGATTAAAACTGGATAAGAGTTCGGTTTAAGACTGAGCTTCCGACAGGTGGCTACAGACGCCAACGCATGCGCAGAGTGCAGATTACGTCAGCAATTACGTCAGCGATCTTGTGACAAGATAACAACATACAACATACAAGTACTGCGTTCAGACTTTACTTCAGTAAAAGTACTAATACCTCACTGTGAACACACTCTGGTACCAAAGTACAAGTACTGCGTTCAGACTTTACTTCAGTAAAAGTACTAATACCTCACTGTGAACACACTCTGGTACCAAAGTACAAGTACTGCATTCAGACTTTACTTCAGTAAAAGTACTAATACCTCACTGTGAACACACTCTGGTACCAAAGTACAAGTACTGCATTCAGACTTTACTTCAGTAAAAGTACTAATACCTCACTGTGAACACACTCTGGTACCAAAGTACAAGTACTGCATTCAGACTTTACTTCAGTAAAAGTACTAATACCACACTGCGAACACACTCTGGTACCAAAGTACACGTACTGCATTCAGACTTTACTTCAGTAAAAGTACTAATACCACACTGCGAACACACTCTGGTACCAAAGTACAAGTACTGCATTCAGACTTTACTTCAGTAAAAGTACTAATACCTCACTGTGAACACACTCTGGTACCAAAGTACAAGTACTGCATTCAGACTTTACTTCAGTAAAAGTACTAATACCACACTGCGAACACACTCTGGTACCAAAGTACACGTACTGCATTCAGACTTTACTTCAGTAAAAGTACTAATACCACACTGCGAACACACTCTGGTACCAAAGTACAAGTACTGCATTCAGACTTTACTTCAGTAAAAGTACTAATACCTCACTGTGAACACACTCTGGTACCAAAGTACAAGTACTGCATTCAGACTTTACTTCAGTAAAAGTACTAATACCTCACTGTGAACACACTCTGGTACCAAAGTACAAGTACTGCATTCAGACTTTACTTCAGTAAAAGTACTAATACCTCACTGTGAACACACTCTGGTACCAAAGTACAAGTACTGCGTTCAGACTTTACTTCAGTAAAAGTACTAATACCTCACTGTGAACATATTCTGGTACCAAAGTACAAGTACTGCGTTCAGACTTTACTTCAGTAAAAGTACTAATACCTCACTGGGAACACACACTGGTACCAAAGTACAAGTACTGCATTCAGACTTTACTTCAGTAAAAGTACTAATACCACACTGTGAACACACTCTGGTACCAAAGTACAAGTACTGCATTCAGACTTTACTTCAGTAAAAGTACTAATACCTCACTGTGAACACACTCTGGTACCAAAGTACAAGTACTGCGTTCAGACTTTACTTCAGTAAAAGTACTAATACCTCACTGTGAACACGCTCTGGTACCAAAGTACAAGTACTGCGTTCAGACTTTACTTCAGTAAAAGTACTAATACCTCACTGTGAACACACTCTGGTACCAAAGTACAAGTACTGCGTTCAGACTTTACTTCAGTAAAAGTACTAATACCTCACTGTGAACATATTCTGGTACCAAAGTACAAGTACTGCGTTCAGACTTTACTTCAGTAAAAGTACTAATACCTCACTGGGAACACACTCTGGTACCAAAGTACAAGTACTGCATTCAGACTTTACTTCAGTAAAAGTACTAATACCTCACTGTGAACACACTCTGGTACCAAAGTACAAGTACTGCGTTCAGACTTTATTTCAGTAAAAGTACTAATACAACACTGTGAACACACTCTGGGTGACAGCAGTCTGTCTACCTGGTTACTGATGACATAATGTGATCTCTGCTCTGTGATTGGCTGCTCTGTGTGTGAGACTGGTTCACACACAGGTTCAGGTCTACAGAGAGTCTCGGACAGCTTCAGGTCTACAGAGAGTCTCGGACAGGTTCAGGTCTACAGAGAGTCTCGGACAGGTTCAGGTCTACAGAGAATCTCAGTCAGGTTCAGGTCTACAGAGAGTCTCGGACAGGTTCAGGTCTACAGAGAGTCTCAGTCAGGTTCAGGTCTACAGAGAGTCTCGGACAGGTTCAGGTCTACAGAGAGTCTCAGACAGGTTCAGGTCTACAGAGAGTCTCAGTCAGGTTCAGGTCTACAGAGAGTCTCAGGCTGGTTCAGGTCTACAGAGAGTCTCGGACAGGTTCAGGTCTACAGAGAGTCTCGGACAGGTTCAGGTCTACAGAGAGTCTCAGGTCTACACAGAGTCTCAGACAGGTTCAGGTCTACAGAGAGTCTCAGACGGGTTCAGGTCTACAGAGAGTCTCAGACAGGTTCAGGTCTACAGAGAGTCTCTGACAGGTTCAGGTCTACAGAGAGCTGTGATGATGATGAAGATGATGAAGGTCCTGGTCCTCGGTCTCTCCTGGGTCCTCTGGGTCTCAGCTGACGGTAAGTTTCATGTTTCAGATTTAAACTCTGAGGCTTCAGATCAAACAGACAGCTGATCCTCCTGGTCCTGGTCTCTCTTCAGGTCTACATGAGGACATTAATATCTTTGGCTGTTCAGACTCTGACGGAGAGTTCATGTTTGCTCTGGATGGAGAAGAGCTTTGGTACGCAGACTTCATCAACAAGAGAGGAGTCTATACTCAGCCCCCCTTTGTAGATCATGTGAGCTATGTGGAAGAAGTTTATGAATCTGCTGTGGCTGATCTACAGGTCTGCAGAGACAGCCTCAAACTAAGACGTAAAGCCATCAAGGATCCTCTGGAGAACGGTAAAGAGAAACTCATCTTGTGTCTCTTTAACTGCTTGAGCTGTTTGAACTGAAAAGACACACAAACTAAATATAAAAACTGAACAAAGGAATATAGGGATTTGTTTATTACATATTATTGTTAATTAAAGGCTGAGTGTGTGTGAATCTATACTGAAAATAAACATATAAGTGCTCATAAAACCATGAGAAAAATAAAAACCTGTAGAGACTCGCAGCTTTCCCTCATATTTCACAGCTTTCATGTCATTGTAAACGTGCTGCAATGAACCCGACCATCCTGTGAAGTTTGGTCCCAGCTGTTGGTGGGAACAATGGGAGTGTGTTCGCTAAACGTCTGGAGATCTACTGAGTGCATCGGTACTCTGTCCCAAACCTGGACAGGGAGTCTCTGTTACCTTTGTGGTTTATCAGTTTCAGGAGGGAGAGAAGGTTCAACATGAACTTTGATGAGAAAACCGGGAGAAGCTGAAGCAGCTAATGTTACTTTGGCCCAGCAACAGCGGTTCTACTACCCTCTGTAGGCCAGCTGCAGGGTCCAGACCACTTTATGAAGAATTGACTGTGTTAGTGTGACATGTTGACAGCTTATGGTGGAGACAAAGAAACAGATTAAATATATTAAAGCTAGTAAACAGTTTAGAGAGTCAGTGTTACATTAAAACATGTTTCTAGTGTTTCATCCATTTCTAGTTTGTTGTCTTTGTGCAGACTAACACAGAGATTTTGAGTTCTAGCTTACAAAGAACTTCAAACCTGCAAACATAAAGATACCCTGAAGTCCAGACAGGCTGGACACAGACTGATCATATGAGAAATTACTAAGATCTGTGTTCCTGTCCAGATCCTCCTTCCAGCCTGCTCGTCTACACCAGAGACGACGAGGAGCTCGGAGAGAAGAACCAGCTGATCTGTCATGTGACTGGTTTCTATCCTGCTCCTGTAAAGATCTACTGGACCAAGAACGGAGAGAACGTGACTGAAGGAACCAGCATCAACGTTCCCTTCTACAACACAGACGGTTCCTTCAGACAGACGTCCAGACTGGAGTTCATCCCACAGCAGGGAGACATTTATAGCTGCACAGTCCAACATCTGGCCCTGGACAGTCCTCTGACCCGGATCTGGGGTGAGACACTTTATTTAAACTCACACAGACAGACACCTCATTACCTGATGGTTTAATGTCTCTGTGTTTCTGTCTCCAGATGGTTTAATGTCTCTGTGTTTCTGTCTCCAGATGGTTTAATGTCTCTGTGTTTCTGTCTCCAGATGGTTTAATGTCTCTCTGTGTTTCTGTCTCCAGTTGGTTTAATGTCTCTGTGTTTCTGTCTCCAGATGGTTTAATGTCTCTCTGTGTTTCTGTCTCCAGATGGTTTAATGTCTCTGTGTTTCTGTCTCCAGATGGTTTAATGTCTCTCTGTGTTTCTGTCTCCAGGTGGTTTAATGTCTCTGTGTTTCTGTCTCCAGATGGTTTAATGTCTCTGTGTTTCTGTCTCCAGATGGTTTAATGTCTCTGTGTTTCTGTCTCCAGATGGTTTAATGTCTCTCTGTGTTTCTGTCTCCAGATGGTTTAATGTCTCTCTGTGTTTCTGTCTCCAGATGGTTTAATGTCTCTGTGTTTCTGTCTCCAGATGGTTTAATGTCTCTCTGTGTTTCTGTCTCCAGATGGTTTAATGTCTCTGTGTTTCTGTCTCCAGATGGTTTAATGTCTCTGTCTGTTTCTGTCTCCAGATGGTTTAATGTCTCTGTGTTTCTGTCTCCAGATGGTTTAATGTCTCTGTGTTTCTGTCTCCAGATGGTTTAATGTCTCTGTGTTTCTGTCTCCAGATGGTTTAATGTCTCTGTGTTTCTGTCTCCAGATGGTTTAATGTCTCTGTCTGTTTCTGTCTCCAGATGGTTTAATGTCTCTGTGTTTCTGTCTCCAGATGGTTTAATGTCTCTGTGTTTCTGTCTCCAGATGGTTTAATGTCTCTCTGTGTTTCTGTCTCCAGAAGGTTTAATGTCTCTCTGTGTTTCTGTCTCCAGGTGGTTTAATGTCTCTCTGTGTTTCTGTCTCCAGATGGTTTAATGTCTCTGTGTTTCTGTCTCCAGATGGTTTAATGTCTCTCTGTGTTTCTGTCTCCAGATGGTTTAATGTCTCTGTGTTTCTGTCTCTAGATGGTTTAATGTCTCTGTGTTTCTGTCTCCAGATGGTTTAATGTCTCTGTGTTTCTGTCTCCAGATGGTTTAATGTCTCTCTGTGTTTCTGTCTCCAGATGGTTTAATATCTCTGTGTTTCTGTCTCCAGATGGTTTAATGTCTCTCTGTGTTTCTGTCTCCAGATGGTTTAATATCTCTGTGTTTCTGTCTCCAGATGGTTTAATGTCTCTCTGTGTTTCTGTCTCCAGATGGTTTAATGTCTCTGTGTTTCTGTCTCCAGATGGTTTAATGTCTCTGTGTTTCTGTCTCCAGATGGTTTAATGTCTCTCTGTGTTTCTGTCTCCAGATGGTTTAATGTCTCTCTGTGTTTCTGTCTCCAGATGGTTTAATGTCTCTGTGTTTCTGTCTCCAGGTGGTTTAATGTCTCTGTGTTTCTGTCTCCAGGTGGTTTAATGTCTCTGTGTTTCTGTCTCCAGATGGTTTAATGTCTCTGTGTTTCTGTCTCCAGATGGTTTAATGTCTCTGTGTTTCTGTCTCCAGATGTGGAGACGACCCCCCCCAGTGTTGGACCTGCAGTGTTTTGTGGACTGGGTCTGACTGTGGGTCTGCTCGGTGTGGCTGCTGGAACCTTCTTCCTCATCAAAGGAAACGAGTGCAGCTGATTGGCTGGATGAAGTTATAACTCTTTTTTCCGTTTAAGAAATTCTTTTTATGTTTTGCTACGAATAAAATGTGTTCTTTAAAACCAATGCTGAAATAACTTTTCCAAGACGTCATGCAACTCAAACAATGAGTAAAGATATCCTGCTCTAATCCAGATGTGCACTCAATGCTTTGTATTATTCCTCTTATATTGAAAATGAATCCAGGGTAAGACTTGTAAATGGGAAACATTTAAATTTAATTTAAATGAACATTCTCAGCTTTAATTATTTCATGTGGTATCTTTGTACTCAGATAATTTACAGCAGAAATGTTTAGGAAGAACTTAATTCTGCCTGAATTTTAATGTTAACAACATCATGGGGAAAAATTGTAATTGAACAACAATGTTTACCTTTGAAATGTCTCAAATTAATGTTCACTGAACTCGTATTTCATTGCTTTTGTTCCCTCTTTCATAATAGACAACGGAGTGTGACTTGTGTCCCATCGTCTGCCTGGTAACAGATGATGATCAGGTCATGTGATCCTTCCTCTGCTTCTTCCAGCAGCTCTCAGTCAGACTCTCTCAGTGTTTGTCAGGTCAACAGAGGAACATGGCTTCATCCTTTCTCAGCTTCTCCCTCCTCTTCATCAGCCTCCACGCAGCAGGTACCATCAATACTCTGATCAATACACTGATCAATACACTTATTACTGATCATACTGCATTCCCTGTGATGGCTCATCAATAGTCTGATCTTTTTTCTTCAGATGGATTTCGGAGCTTTTATGTGACCCGCTGTGAGTTTAACTCCACTGAGCTGAAGGACATCGAGTACATCAGGTCTACTTATTACAACAAGAAGGAGATCGTCAGGTTCAGCAGCAGTGTGGGGAAGTTTGTTGGATTCACTGAGTACGGACTGAAGTGTGCTGATGACTGGAACAACAATCCTTCATATATGGCTGGGCTGAGAGCTTCGAAGGAGAGGTACTGCCTAAACAACGTTGGGATCGACTACCAGGCTCGTCTGTCTAAGTCAGGTGAGTTTGTTTCTGTAACATCCAACAGCATCAGATCATCATGTTATTGATTACTTATTGATTCATTAACACTCTGACTGAACCAACCTCAGCTCTGATTTATATATTTATATTGATCATCATGCACAGAAGATGTTTATAATATTATCTGATTTTACACAGCAGTTTGTTCTGAGTTACAAACGTTATGAAATATAATACCAGACTAATGTTCATGTTCCTTCAACACATCAGAATAAAGTCTGTGTCGCCTCCTGGTGGAGAAACTCTGCTGCTGCTACTACTGATGATAAAATAACGTTAAATTGATTAACATTAAATATCACTAACATCGCTGCCAAGATCGACGACCCCACAGATCTTTTTACAATAAGCAGTCATTTGTTTTACCTGCCCAGGTAAATGTTTATGTTAATTTCAAATGCTTTCAGTTTTATTTATGTTGCGCCAAAGTCATCTCATTGCACTTTTGATATAGAGCAGGTCTGACCGTACTCTGTTTAATATTATTTATGGAGAACCAGTTCCCCAGCAGTGTATTCTGCTGCTTTATTGAACCCAGATTACATTTCATTCACAGTCAACGTGAGCAGCAGGAAAGGAGATATTAGAGATTAGAAGTAGGAATTAGAGATGAAGATGTGCAGCAGAATGACGTCTTTAAAAAGTGCAACATATCACCTGTTGTTCATTTAGTACTTTTACTTTTAAATTCATCCAGCCAGAGGGAACGATCACCAACTGTTCGCTGCGCCGGTCGGAATAGCGACACAACCCATTGTAGGTATCGCAGAGGGAATGGGGCGTTGGGGCGTACAGGGACAGGAGATCACGGACGGTCGGTGATCGTTCCTTCTAGCTGGATGAAGCACGATCTGCTGGCATTTCCTCGCGTCTGGGTCGTTCCAGCATACTGTAGCTGTTTCTGCTGGGGTTTCCCGAAGCAGTTTTTCAGCTGTGCTGTCCCAAGTACTTAGTGCACTCTCAGGCAGGACGATTTCCACATACTCGGGACGCACTGAAAGAAACAAACCCAGGTTTTTACGCTGTGGCTGCTTCCCTCCCGACTCTCCACGGAGGAAACCATTAAAACACGCAAAACCCTCATTTAAATACTGCCACCTCCATTGTGTTTGCTCCTGTTGTCATTTACGCAATAATACTTAGTAAACTGGATAATTTGCAAGCTGGATTGCGACCCCATCCTTCCTAAACTCAAACAGAGGTCACACAGGGCTGAACAATAAATCAATAATGATAATTATCACAATATAACAAATGTTCAATATATCGTTAATGTTTGATTTAATTCCTTTGAATCCTGAACTAATTTACACTTAATTTTACTGAAAGATCTTTATTTTGTTGAGGGAAACATTTACTGATGATATTCTTTTAAAAAAACAAGTTATCATAATAATTCTGAATGTTGTACGTCAGATTTTTGAAGCAACATTTATTGGACGCTTTTATCCAAAGGGACTTACATTTACACGTCAGAGGTCGCACGCCTCTGGAGCAACGAGGGGTTAAGTGTCTTGCTCAGGGTCACAGTGGGGGGATTGAACCCAGGTCTCTCACACCAAAGGCATGTGTCTTACCCACTGCACCATCCACAGTTTGGCATCAAGTGTCACATTCTGACCATAAAGAAAAGTTGAAAACTACAATTAACCATCTGGTTCCCCTTCGAGGGAACTCGAACTGCGTCGGTTACGACACTATGGGAACGCCTCTAGGCGAAGCAGGTCTGAACGTGAATGAAATCACTCCAATCCTATTGGCTTGTTGCTAGAACGGTAAGGTGTGACGGAATAACCGGAGGAGTATAAAGCACACCTGTACACACTCATCATTAGCTTTTTTTTATTCAGCAGGCGCTCTGTATGTTGTTTGAAGAAAGCTCCAGTCCTACAAGCAGTGTGTCTTACCTGAAGAAGAAGTCTACCAGCATGTCCGGCAACCAGATGTACAGAAGGTGTGTTTTTTCTTGCCCTCGGTACATCACGGATGGAGATTCTCATGAGATGTGTGTCTCATGTTTGGGGATGGAGCACGCCCGGGCAGCTCTCGAGGGGGCTGCCTGCGCCCGTTGCGAAGCCCTTTCCGTGCGGATACTGAGGTACAGCATGGCTCTCTTTCCGAGGATGGCCGGATGTGTTTTCCCCGTGGTGTGGGCCCTGCGGCCGCTGAGGCAGCCCGGCGGCTTCACTCATGGGTTCACAGCGTGATCTGTCGGAGGATTTCGGGACGGCTGAGGCTTTTTCCCGACTGTCATCCGCTGGCTCCGACGCTTCCTTTCCTCGTTCGGGAGCCCGTTCTCGGCTTCTCCCGCTCGCGGTTTGGATCCGGAGACGCTGCAGCAATCCGACTCCGAGTCCGAGGTGACTAGAGCCGTGGCTAAGCTCAACATCAACTGGCCACAGGAGGAGCAGACACCACAGGCTAGTGGTAGCTTGATGAAAGGTTTCTTAAGCACCACACGCCACCTCCACACCGGTCTCTGCCATTCTTTCCTGAAAAGAAAGTACATGATGAACTGAGTAATCATGGGGCAGACCCTTCTCTACATGGCTTTCCACACCCCGATCACTGAACTACAGTAATGTGATGGGGGTTAGGGACCGTGGTTATGGGAGCCTCGGGTGGAGGATGAGCTTGCGAGCTATCTCTCCCCTCGACTTGCGTCCTCCCTGGAGAAACCGGCGTTACCATCCAAACCATGTCGCACCATATCCACGCTCGTGGGGAAGGCGTACATGGCAGCGGGCCAGGCAGGTGCGAGCTTGCACACCACGGTGCTTCAAGCCTACCAAGCCAACCTGCTACAGGAGATGGTTCAGAGGGGGGGTCCCTCCGAGGAAGATCTGGCGGAGCTTCGCAGAACCACGAAGCGTTAGACGCAGTGCGAAGCGTTCCGCCAGTACCTCCCTCGCCGGTCTGGACCCAAGGCAGCTGAGGCTGCCAGGCGTAGGTCCCTTCCCTCTACGAGCTCCTACGGAGAGGAGAGGAAGCAGAGTGTCGCTTCTCGGGGGAGCCCCCCCCCGAGGAGCTGGGGCAGCGAGACGGCGCTCTCACCCTCAGCCATCTGAGAGACGCGATCTGAGGACCGTCATCCAGTCCCGACGGAGCTCAGGGAAGACCGGGGTAGGGGAGTCTTTCTCCCCTCCCGCACCCGGGCCGTGGAACGTGTCTTCCCCCCAGACAGAGACGCCAGTTCTACAGCCGGTACTTCATAGTCCCCAAGAAGGACGGAGGGCTGCGTGCCCTATTTTGGATTTGCGGGTTCTAACCGGTCTCTGAGGAGATTCAGGTTAAAGATGCTCATCATCCCCACCACCGTGACGCACATCCAATCTGAGGATTGGTTCGTCACGATAGATCTAAAGGACGCCTATTTCCAGGTCTCCATCCGTCCTTCTCACAGGAAGTTCCTGAGGTTTGCCTTCGGGGGTGTGGCTTACCAGTATCGGGTTCTTCCATTCGGCCTGGCACTTCCCCTCGCACATTCACCAAGTGTATGGATGCAGCGCTGGCTGGGCCACTCCGCACACATTCATTCGGTTTTACAGTCTTGACCTTCCTTCGGCACCTGGCACTCGTGCGCTCTCCTCTTAGTCGTGCCACTTTATTGCACACAGGGGCAGACGGGGTTTTTGGCACGGTTTAGTGGGTATCTCGTTCCCATAGTGTCGTAACCGACGCAGTTCGAGTTCCCTCGAAGGGGAACGTCTCGGGTTACGTATGTAACCCTGGTTCCCCGAGAAGGGGAACGAGAGACTGCGTCGGCCCGCCGCACCTCTCTCCCCGCCTGAAGCGCCTGCTTCATAGTTTAAGCTAATGATGAGTGTGTACAGGTGTGCTTTATACTCCTCCGGTTATTCCGTCACACCTTACCGTTCTAGCAACAAGCCAATAGGATTGGAGTGATTTCATTCACGTTCAGACCTGCTTCGCCTAGAGGCGTTCCCATAGTGTCGTAACCGACGCAGTCTCTCGTTCCCCTTCTCGGGGAACCAGGGTTACATACGTAACCCGAGACGTTTCTTCAGTTCACATGATAACAGTGTTTTGCTACATCGCCCAGCCCTAAGGTCACATGATCAGAGTTATTGATGTCAGAGCGGCAGACGTCCCTGTTTGGTCTGTTTAGCAGCAGCAGTTCATCCCCAGGTGGATCGACAGGAGCGCAGAGCAACATCCTGCTCTGGGAAAGTTTCAGGTTCGATGAAGTGGTACAGTGTGAGCAGCAGAAAGTCTCTTCTCCGGTAAATGTGACCATGACACATGAAGAGTACTGGAGAGCGCAGTACCGAGACGGCCATCTTGGTTTTTATAAAGTCTGATGTAAGAATATTCAGAGAAGAGGTTCCACGGCCACAGAGAGAACCTTTAACAGTGAGGAAGATCTGTAAAGAACAATAAGAACTTTCTTTGTATCGTCAAATACTGAAGATGTACGACACGTCACCAGATAATAATGAGATCCCAGCCTGCACCTGGTGGAAACGCAAGACAAGAGAGAGCCAGCCGGACCGGCACCGGGCTAACCTGGAGGTTTCCATGGTAACAGATTCCAGTGAGAACCAGTGTGTCGTGATGTTGTTCCTCACTGAACGACTCAGCTCACGTATCCAAACTGTATTATTAATATTAGACAACAACTAGTACTAATACTGCAGGCGGTACTACTGCTACTACCTCATAATACCATAGAGTTAAAATAAACTCTGTGTTGCAGCTGAGCCCTACGTCAGGCTGCGCTCCAAGACGCCCTCTGGTGGTAAACATCCCTCCATGTTGGTCTGCAGCGTCTTCAGCTTCTACCCCAAACAGATCATAGTGGGCTGGCTCAGAGACGGACAGGAAGTCACCTCTGATGTCACTTCCACTGATGAGCTGGCAGACGGGGACTGGTACTACCAGGTCCACTCTCACCTGGAGTACACGCCCAGGTGAGTCCAGGTCCAGGTCCAGGTCCAGGTCCAGGTCTGTCAGTAAGTGTGGCAGAAAGTCTGACGTGCTGGTTTGTGTTGAATCAGGTCTGGAGAGAAGATCTCCTGTGTGGTGGAGCACGCCAGCCTGAAGGAACCTCTGGTGACTGACTGGGGTAAATACCTGTCTGTCTGCTCACCTGTCTGTCTGTTCACCTGTCTGTCTGCTCACCTGTCTGTCTGCTCACCTGTCTGTCTGTTCACCTGTCTGTCTGTTCACCTGTCTCTCTGTTCACCTGTCTGTCTGCTCACCTGTCTGTCTGTTCACCTGTCTGTCTGTTCACCTGTCTGTCTCTCCACCTGTCTGTCTGTTCACCTGTCTGTCTGTTCACCTGTCTGTCTGATTACATGTCTGTCTGCTCACCTGTCTGTCTGTTCACCTGTCTGTCTGTTCACTTGTCTGTCTGATTACATGTCTGTCTGATTACATGTCTGTCTGCTCACCTGTCTGTCTGCTCACCTGTCTGTCTGATTACCTGTCCAGCTCTCTGCTCACCTGTCTGTCTCTCTACCTGTCTGCCTGCTCACCTGTCTGTCCTCAGACCCGTCCCTGCCTGAGTCTGAGAGAAACAAGATCGCCATGGGAGCCTCAGGACTGATCCTGGGTCTGATCTTATCTCTGGCTGGATTCATCTACTACAAGAGGAAGGCCCGAGGTCAGACCAGTACACACAGTCTAAAACCAGTTTACACCAATACACACAGTCTGAAACCAGTTTACACCAGTACACAGAGTCTGAAACCAGTTTACACCAGTACACACAGTCTGAAACCAGTTTACACCAGTACACACAGTCTGAAACCAGTTTACACCAGTACACACAGTCTGAAACCAGTTTACACCAGTTTACACACAGTCTGAAACCAGTTTACACCAGTACACAGAGTCTGAAACCAGTTTACACCAGTACACACAGTCTGAAACCAGTTTACACCAGTACACAGAGTCTGAAACCAGTTTACACCAGTAGACACAGTCTGAAACCAGTTTACACCAGTACACACAGTCTGAAACCAGTTTACACCAGTAGACACAGTCTGAAACCAGTTTACACCAGTAGACACAGTCTGAAACCAGTTTACACCAGTTTACACAGTCTGAAACCAGTTTACACCAGTACACAGAGTCTGAAACCAGTTTACACCAGTACACACAGTCTGAAACCAGTTTACACCAGTACACACAGTCTGAAACCAGTTTACACCAGTACACACAGTCTGAAACCAGTTTACACCAGTACACACAGTCTGAAACCAGTTTACACCAGTTTACACAGTCTGAAACCAGTTTACACCAGTACACACAGTCTGAAACCAGTTTACACCAGTTTACACAGTCTGAAACCAGTTTACACCAGTTTACACAGTCTGAAACCAGTTTACACCAGTAGACACAGTCTGAAACCGGTTTACACCAGTTTACACAGTCTGAAACCAGTTTACACCAGTTTACACAGTCTGAAACCAGTTTACACCAGTTTACACAGTCTGAAACCGGTTTACACCAGTACACACAGTCTGAAACCAGTTTACACCAGTTTGAACCCAGTTAACTCCAGCTTCTTCTCTTTAATGCAGGAAGGATTCTGGTCCCCACTAACTGATTCTGGACCTGGACCTGGATCTGGATCTGGACCCGATCCTGCAGCTGCTGCTTCATCCTGCTTCCTGTGTTTCAGCTCAGCAGACTGGCTGAACAGCTGGTTCTCTGATGGTCTCTTTAAACCCTGATCCAGGACTGTCAGACCTGCTCCCTCTCCGTGTGATCTGATGCTTCAGTTTCTGGTATTTGTACTTTGAACAGAAGTTCCTCTGAGTTTCACTTCGAGGGAACTCGAAGACACTGCGTCGGTTACGACACTATGGGAACGCATAGTGTCGTAACCGACGCAGTGTCTCGTTCCCCTTCTCGGGGAACCAGGGTTACATACGTAACCCGAGACGTTCTCTCCGTCATTTAGAGAAAGAACAGGAGAGTCTCGTTCTCCTCATTAAGTTTACAGACATTTATCATTAAAGGTTTTACAGAGAAATTATTTTACAGATTCAATAAAAGCACGTGCTCAATATTTTAAAATCAGCTTTATTTTGGAAGACAAAGTAATTCTTACATTTTTATAGAATTACAGTACAAACATTTAATATTAAACTACTGCACTGATTATCATAAAATATAAAGATTACTGTGAAATATCCTCAACTGAAAACATCCTGACATAATAAGTTGATATATGTCTCGCTGTTTCAAAAAAACTTAATAATACAAAGAAGATTGATTGTATAAATATTACTTGATCCTCAAACTTTATCCAATCAGCTCTTTTCTAATTAAGCCTCAGGGGACAATTAACTGGCTCCTCGATGAGACACCTACCAAATGTAGAAATTATTGGCACATGGTCACGTCCCACTGTATAAAGACCCATTGTCTCCCACCTGCTGGCTGATGCTAACTCTGCTGATACAATTGTTATATCTGTGACAGATGACGTTGATCGACTTGTCTTCTATAAGTCTTCTATAATTTGACCATTTCTGTCCCTCTTCTTACATCCCCACAGTTCATTATGAGCATTAAAACCCCCGTTTAATGCACAGATTATACACATTTATAATAGAGATTTTCCCTCGATCAGTCCAAACCTCTGTGATAACACTCTGTTTTTATACTGAGTTCCATTTTTAATAAAAGTTGCACATCCCCCTCCTGATATATTCTCTCTCTAGCTTTCCTTTCACATTTGTACCCAGGTTTACAAAATCTAGTTTCCTCAATGCAAATAATTTCGGGTTTTTCTCAAATGTTTGAATTCTTCGCAATAAGGCTCCCAGCATTCCACTGCATTATGTAAAACATAATACAAAGACACTGATCACCATCATAGTCCCCGTAACTACTGCCCAGTTCTTCTTCTTCTTCATTATCATCAGTCTCTAACTGTAAAGTGCTTCAACCATGAATGCCAGAAGTCTTTTCTTGCTAATCACGACTGAGTCACCGTCTCTTCACCAGATCCCTTGCAATGGCCTCGTTGTGTCCTTGGCTGACCCCACTGTAGTCCTCCACTCTCTTTACTGCCTCTGCATAAGATATTTTCCTGTTTTATTCTCTCCACATTTCCTGCTTTGATGTAACTTTGGATGTTCCCCCCAACAATTACAACATTTCACAGGTTCATTACATTCTTTCCCGTCACGGTCTTTCCTACATCGTCTACATTTTCTCCCTCCAGGTTCACGCTGAGCAGGTGTGACAGACGTGACAGAGTCTGGAGACGCCGTGGAGAACGTTCTGCTGCCTGCAACATCCTCCAGCAGGACCGGTTTGGCGGTGGGTCAGTGATGGTGTGGGGTGGCGTTTCTCTGGGGGGCGGCACGGCCCTCCGTGTGCTCGCCAGAGGTAGCCTGACTGCCGTTAGGTACCGAGATGAGATCCTAGGACCCCTTGTGAGACCATATGCTGGTGCGGTCGGCCCTGGGTTCCTCCTAATGCAGGACAATGCTAGACCTCATGTGGCTGGAGTGTGTCAGCAGTGATGCTATTGACCGGCCCGTTCCCCAGACCTGAATCCAAGTGAGGACATCTGGGACATCATGTCTCCATCCACCAACGCCACGTTGCACCACAGACCGTCCAGCAGTTGGCGGATGCTTTAGTCCAGGTCTGGGAGGAGATCCCTCAGGAGACCATCCTCCACCTCATCAGGAGCCCAGGCGTTGTAGGGAGGTCATACAGACACGTGGACGCCACAAACACCACTGAGCCTCATTCTGACTTGTTTTAAGGACGTTACATCAAAGCTGGATCGGCCTGTAGTGTTTTCCACTTTGATTTTGAGTGTGACTCCAAATCCAGACCTCCATGGGTTGATAAATTTGATTTCCACTGATAATTTGTGTGATTTTGTTGTCAGCACATCAACTATGTAAAGAAAGTATTTAATGAGATTATTTCATTCATTCAGATCGAGGATGTGTTATTTTAGTGTTGCCTTTATTTTTATGAGCAGTTTATTTATAGGCCTTCTTGCTGTGTGGGAGCTCAACCAGCAGAGGTCACTGTGCCCCCTTCTGTGGCGCCGACAGGCAACAAGGTTCTGACCAGAGAGAAGGTTAATCACTGAGTCTGACCTTTGACCTTTTGACTTGTGTTTCTATCAGAGAGAAGGCTGCACTGCTACCAGAGGAAGTTAATCACTGAGTCTGACCTTTGACCTTTTGACTTGTGTTTCTATCAGAGAGAAGGCTGCACTGCTACCAGAGGAAGTTGATCACTGAGTCTGACCTTTGACCTTTTGACTTGTGTTTCTATCAAAGAGAAGGCTGCACTGCTACCAGAGGAAGTTAATCACTGAGTCTGACCTTTGACCTTTTGACTTGTGTTTCTATCAAAGAGAAGGCTGCACTGCTACCAGAGGAAGCTAATCACTGAGTTTGACCTTTGACCTTTTGACTTGTGTTTCTATCAGAGAGAAGGCTGCACTGCTACCAGAGGAAGTTAATCACTGAGTCTGACCTTTGACCTTTGACCTTTTGACTTGTGTTTCTATCAGAGAGAAGGCTGCACTGCTACCAGAGGAAGTTAATCACTGAGTCTGACCTTTGACCTTTTGACTTGTGTTTCTATCAAAGAGAAGGCTGCACTGCTACCAGAGGAAGTTAATCACTGAGTCTGACCTTTGACCTTTGACCTTTTGACTTGTGTTTCTATCACAGAGAAGGCTGCACTGCTACCAGAGGAAGTTAATCACTGAGTCTGACCTTTGACCTTTTGACTTGTGTTTCTATCAAAGAGAAGGCTGCACTGCTACCAGAGGAAGTTAATCACTGAGTCTGACCTTTGACCTTTTGACTTGTGTTTCTATCAAGAGAAGGCTGCACTGCTACCAGAGGAAGTTAATCACTGAGTCTGACCTTTGACCTTTTGACTTGTGTTTCTATCAGAGAGAAGGCTGCACTGCTACCAGAGGAAGTTAATCACTGAGTTTGACCTTTGACCTTTTGACTTGTGTTTCTATCAGAGAGAAGGCTGCACTGCTACCAGAGGAAGTTAATCACTGAGTCTGACCTTTGACCTTTTGACTTGTGTTTCTATCAAAGAGAAGGCTGCACTGCTACCAGAGGAAGTTAATCACTGAGTCTGACCTTTGACCTTTTGACTTGTGTTTCTATCAGAGAGAAGGCTGCACTGCTACCAGAGGAAGTTAATCACTGAGTCTGACCTTTGACCTTTTGACTTGTGTTTCTATCAGAGAGAAGGCTGCACTGCTACCAGAGGAAGTTAATCACTGAGTCTGACCTTTGACCTTTTGACTTGTGTTTCTATCAAGAGAAGGCTGCACTGCTACCAGAGGAAGTTAATCACTGAGTTTGACCTTTGACCTTTTGACTTGTGTTTCTATCAGAGAGAAGGCTGCACTGCTACCAGAGGAAGTTAATCACTGAGTTTGACCTTTGACCTTTTGACTTGTGTTTCTATCAGAGAGAAGGCTGCACTGCTACCAGAGGAAGTTAATCACTGAGTCTGACCTTTGACCTTTTGACTTGTGTTTCTATCAGAGAGAAGGCTGCACTGCTACCAGAGGAAGTTAATCACTGAGTCTGACCTTTGACCTTTTGACTTGTGTTTCTATCAGAGAGAAGGCTGCACTGCTACCAGAGGAAGTTAATCACTGAGTTTGACCTTTGACCTTTTGACTTGTGTTTCTATCAGAGAGAAGGCTGCACTGCTACCAGAGGAAGTTAATCACTGAGTCTGACCTTTGACCTTTTGACTTGTGTTTCTATCAGAGAGAAGGCTGCACTGCTACCAGAGGAAGTTAATCACTGAGTCTGACCTTTGACCTTTTGACTTGTGTTTCTATCAGAGAGAAGGCTGCACTGCTACCAGAGGAAGTTAATCACTGAGTTTGACCTTTGACCTTTTGACTTGTGTTTCTATCAAAGAGAAGGCTGCACTGCTACCAGAGGAAGTTAATCACTGAGTTTGACCTTTGACCTTTTGACTTGTGTTTCTATCAGAGAGAAGGCTGCACTGCTACCAGAGGAAGTTAATCACTGAGTCTGACCTTTGACCTTTTGACTTGTGTTTCTATCAAAGAGAAGGCTGCACTGCTACCAGAGGAACTTCACCTGCCTTCCAGCTTCTCTTTCTGTGGTGCTATAGCTGCTAACAAGTCTCAGCTTCCACCATCTGCTGTTATGTGTCAAAACAAAACTCTTCCAAAACAAAGCTTTTTATTTTCCTTTGCTATTTTCTCCAGTGTAAAATACTTATTATGTTAAGTAAATATTTTTAATGCAGCCTGCAGTTCCCATAAGTTATGTAGGCCTACTAATGTGTGAAACCTGGTGAGCATTAATGAGTCAAAAATGATCTCCAGCTCTGGGCTTTCAGATCTTTTAATGCTTTTTTGGCTTTAGTTCTGTTTGATGAACCACCAGATAAAGGCCGTACTGTTCGTACTGGTGTACAATAAAAGTGAAGTTGAGTCATTTAGTTTTTCTCCCAGAGTTTCCCCAGTACCTGGAGGATGTGAGCCTGTGCAGGTTTGAGGACTGATGATAGTATCAAGGCTGGTCCCATCACCTACCATCACTCTCTGTTCAGAGAAATGCAGAACACCTTCCTCCAGCACCAGAAAAGGACCTGTTGTCACTTTAACATATTTACATCATGATTCATGGGAAGTATTGTTCATTATACTTTAATAAGACATGGTAAAGTATTGTTCATTATACTTTAATAACACATGGTGAAGTATTGTTCATTATACTTTAATAAGACATGGTGAAGTATTGTTCATTATACTTTAATAAGACATGGTGAAGTATTGTTCATTATACTTTAATAAGACATGGTAAAGTATTGTTCATTATACTTTAATAAGACATGGTAAAGTATTGTTCATTATACTTTAATAACACATGGTAAAGTATTGTTCATTATACTTTAATAACACATGGTAAAGTATTGTTCATTATACTTTAATAACACATGGTGAAGTATTGTTCATTATACTTTAATAAGACATGGTGAAGTATTGTTCATTATACTTTAATAAGACATGGTGAAGTATTGTTCATTATACTTTAATAAGACATGGTAAAGTATTGTTCATTATACTTTAATAACACATGGTAAAGTATTGTTCATTATACTTTAATAAGACATGGTGAAGTATTGTTCATTATACTTTAATAAGACATGGTAAAGTATTGTTCATTATACTTTAATAAGACATGGTGAAGTATTGTTCATTATACTTTAATAAGACACGGTGAAGTATTGTTCATTATACTTTAATAACACATGGTAAAGTATTGTTCGTTATACTTTAATAAGACATGGTAAAGTATTGTTCATTATACTTTAATAAGACACGGTGAAGTACTGTTCATTATACTTTAATAACACATGGTAAAGTATTGTTCATTATACTTTAATAACACATGGTGAAGTATTGTTCATTATACTTTAATAACACATGGTGAAGTATTGTTCATTATACTTTAATAAGACATGGTAAAGTATTGTTCATTATACTTTAATAAGACATGGTGACGTATTGTTCATTATACTTTAATAACACATGGTGAAGTATTGTTCATTATACTTTAATAACACATGGTGAAGTATTGTTCATTATACTTTAATAACACATGGTGAAGTATTGTTCATTATACTTTAATAAGACATGGTAAAGTATTGTTCATTATACTGTGTTCACAAGAGGACGCTGTCCATTTTCATTCACCACCACAGCAGTTGTAGGAAGAATGGGCTCAAGAAATTCACAGAACACAGAGAAATGTTTCTAAATAATGAATATCTACATTCACTTGTCCGAGAAATGTTCTCCTGATAAGAACTGCACAAAAGTATAGTTCTATTTTAGCAAATTTAACAAAAGAAATGTGTACTTATGATGAACTAGAGGAGGAAACGAACTAAAGAAACTGTCGTGAAACTTGACTACAGTATCAATAAGTACACTCACCATCTCTCGGTCTTTTATCTGAAGGCCTTCTCGTGCTCTTCTGGCAGTTTAGCTTAAAACTTTAAATCAACCTAAAATGACACCAAAGCATTTTAATATGAAACTGTTCCATCAGGACTGCAGCAATGACTCACATGACTACAAATCCACATTAGGACACTTTATTTACGCAGGTATCGATCATCAGTCACATGCTCTGATACACTCTTGTATTTTTAGTGTGGTAATGTGGGGGGGGGCTGCTGCTGAAAACAGCTTAAACCAGCTTAAGATGGTTGCTGGTTTCAGCCGGTTGTAGCTGGTTTTGAGCTGGTTATGCTGGTTTATTGGACTGGTAAGATGTCTATGAAGATTCTCAGTCATCCAGGTCATAGTTATCCAACGAAGGTTAAAATCAAGGGCAACTGGACTTGGTTGAAGATACTGGAAGACGTTTCGTCCCTCATCCAAAGGACTTCTTCAGTTCTGACTGACTGGCAGGGAAGC